TATATATATATATATATATATATATATATATGTATATATATATATATATATATATATATAAAATTATTATTATTTTTAGATAATGTGCTTCTTCTTTGCTTTAAACCTGATGTCTGACGTTTCTGCTTTTTGCCTGTGTACTCCCTCAGCTGTCATGGAAAAGCAGAGGAATGTATCGGGCTGTGTCGGGCCCTGCTGGGAGTGGTTGTGTGGCTGCTGCAGGGCTGTGCATTTTACTGCGAGAAGCTGAGAGAACTGGGTCCATCTGCCAGCACAGAGACCTGCCTCAACGCATGCCAAGAAAGACTTCACAGCCTGATGAGCAGCACCAAGAACAGAGCTCTGGTCCACATTGCCCGGCTCGAAGACCAAGGTGTTTGACTGAATAAAGACTGCATGTGATGATGTAGTTGTATAAGACTATCTGCACTTACTGTCTTTCTTTCTGCTGCTCTTTGGTCACAGGTTCCTGGAGCAATGTTGAACAAGCAGTGTTTAACTTGACAGAAGGCCTCGACAACATCCCCAACCAAACGCTGAGGACCAAATTAGAGGAAAGTTTGTCTCTAGTGAAAAGGTGAAGGTTCCTCGGTGACACTGATTTACTTGACTTTGGTTCAACTCAAATACAATCACAGACCAGCTTGATAGAGTTAATTCTCTGTTCTTTCCCTCAGTATTGCCCTGATGCTTTCTGTACAATGTGACCTGCCAGTCCGTGCCTCCTTCCCTTCAGTTCATGCCTTCGTCATGCTGGAGGGGACCATGAATTTGACTGGGGAGATACAGCCAATGGTCGAGCAGCTAATGATGATTAAAAGAATGCAGGTAATTGTTAAACTGTAGAAAACTGCATTATTGTGTGTTTCAGACAACTTTTTGAACAGAAAGATGAACATTGTAGGGCTTTCGGTGAGAAAAATATGCCCCAGTGTTGATCAGATTAAAAAAATCATATCTTTCATAAAGTTCTGAGGCCAAATGTTTATATTCATACAGCTGAGTTGTAACATCTTTGTTACTGTAGTTGTAGGCTCTTTTTAGTTTGCTGTTTGAACAGTGAATTATGGGCTGTGTTACTCACTTTAAGAGCTATTAAAGCTTTCGTTTTTGAAAGAAAAAAGTCAATGCAGAATATTGTGAAGAACTAAGTAAATTGTTAAAAAAATAGTTGAGACTAGAGGTTCATAAGTTTTATTGGTACCACTTTACAATAAAGCTCCCCTTATAGATGGCTAATAAATAGTTTATAGTTATATTGCCTCTATAAACACTTTATAAATCATTAATAGCTGCTTATTATGCATTAATTAAGGGTGACAGAGAAACAAAACTGACCAGTTTCTTGTCAAATAGTGATCCAAATCTGTTCACCTATATATTTCATCGAGAGTTGTTATATTAAACATTTCAGACTAAGCTGCTACCTTGTAAGCACAATAAGCATTTGTAAACTTGTTTTTTTAGGATATAATATTAGTTGTAGATACTTATAATGCAGTGATAAAGTACAATATTATATGCTAAAGAAATAAGTTTACAAATGCTTATTCATCATCATCATCATCATTTACTTTCTTTCAGACACTGTATATGAGCCATATAAAAAACAGAAAAACAACAAGAACACAGAGTTCAAAAGCTTTTCTACAGAGGCTCATACGCCATTGAGTCCATAAAGTAGAAAAGTATCACACAGAGCTTAGTCCAGGGTTGGTCAGTGTAGCGATAATATGGTTTTCAGATCCAGACAACCTACACATGCATCTGTACATGAGGTCACGCAGCACCGCAGGGCAGGTAGGCACATCTACATCTACAAACATTTTGCTTGCACTGCTCCATCCAGGTACCCTCAGCAGCATCCGCATGCCATCATTATATGCCACATTTAGTCTATGCATACTGCTCCTTTTATAACGTCTCCACGGGTGAGCGGTATACGTAGGAGTGCAGTAGGCCTTAAAGAGTTGGATCTTAACTGATGTTGAGCACATTCCAAACCTACAGATCAGCGTGTTGGCTTGTCTGTAATTATTGGGCTTACAAGGTAGTAACTTAGTCTGAAATGTTTAATATAACAACTCTAGATGAAATATATAGGTGAACAGATCTGGTTCACTATTTGGCAAGAAACTGGTCAGTTTTGTCTCTCTGTCACCCTTAAATAATGCATAATAAGCTGTTATTAATGATTTATTAAGTGTTTATAGTGGAATTAATAATTTATCTATAAACTATTTATTAGCCATCTATAAGGGGAGCTTTATTGTAAAGTGGTTTTGTTTTATTTTTAAATGCATTTCAGATTTTAGCTAAATATATGTAAAAAAAAAAAAAAACGCTCAGTTTTTATTTTTTTTTATTTTTTTTACTTTTATTAAAACCTGTAAGTTAACTTTTTGTGCATGTAATATTGTAAACTACTGTACAGCAGTTGCGATGAATGCTTTGATGTCTTATTACTGTTCATGTGATGCCATTAAAGTGCTGGAAGCATATTCACAGGTCGATATAAAATAGATATATTCAAAAGGAGTGTATGAGATGCTGGATTTGATTTTCTGAAAATTTTTTTTTTTTACTTCAACTCCAACAAAAAAACATCCTCTAAGTTTATTTGTGCTCCTTGTTTTGCTGCTGAAAACCAAAGTTTTTCCACGGTTGTGGTGGTGTGTTTAATTTTTAAATTCAGCCAATAAAGTCTGTAGATGGTCGTTGCGTTGTTGCCTTTTTAAACACAGGAAGTGAGGTACGGTCACTTAAATAGTGGTTTATGTTGATTCCTGTCTCAGGTCCCATTAAACTGGGATGATGGTGATGAACATGTGGCATTTCTGTGCATTGCTCATATAAAAGTTAGTGGACATTCCTACAGTCAAGACGATTGTTTAATAAATATGATGCACCTCAACCTGCTGTCATTTCTTTTTTCCTCTGTAGCATATTCCTGGTCCTCTTTTTGTTCTGGAGATTTGGAAGGCCTGTTTCACTGGGCTCATTGAGTCACCAGAGGGCACAGAGGAGCTGAAATGGACCGCCTTCACCTTCCTCAAAGTAAGATTAGTTTCTTGGAGAAGCTGTGCTTCTATTTTCTCTTTGTATGTGTTTCCTTCTCTAGTGTTTAATGTGTTTTTGACTCTAAATTACTCATGAAAGCTTGGACTAAACAGTTTGTAGATTTTATTTTTGTTATTCAACTTTATTGTCATTGTGCAGAGTACAGGTACAGAACCAATTAAATGCAGTTGGCATCTAACCAGAAGTGCAAATACAGTATCACTACCAGTTATTTACAGATGTAGTGCAGGGAATGAGTATGGAGAATAATGCTTACAAATGTGAACATTATATACAACAGAGGCCAGTAGAGTTGTTATTTACAGTATAAATGTTGAATGAGAAAATGCATACCGTATATATGTATGTATATGCCCAGTGTATACAGAGTGAATAAAGAGAAATACAGATAGTATATGGCTATATGCATGTACATATTGCAAGTATGAATAGTGCAGTATTAGACTGTGCAAATATACAGATATGATGAGTATTGCAACATTAAGAACAAAGTACCATGTGTATTTAAAGAGACTGTGTGGTTCTAGAATTGCGCCGCTCGGGGTGGCTGCATGTTTGAGCAGCTCTGTTACTTTCATTCTGAGTTATTGCTTTTGCAAACTTTAATTACTCTTTTTTTTTTTTTTCTGGATGTAAATCTCATTTTTCGAATGATTATTTACTCTGGTGTCTGATGCTGTGCAGCTGGAAGGATTTTTACTGAAACCTTTTTACTTTTGGGCATTTGTTATGAAACGTAACCATGGCAACAAGGTGGTTTTTTTTTTTAACAACCAGGAGCAGCTGATTAACATCTCAAAAGCTCAAATGCCTCAACTACATCCCCAAATCCCAAACGAGTTGAAAAGGAAGCGCAGTGGGCGAATTTCTGTCAATCTGGTGGCGGTGCTCGAGTATCTGACCGCCGAGATCCTGGAGCTGGTGGGAAACTCGGCTTGTGACAACGGGAGGGCTGGGATCATCCCCCGAAACCTACAACTGTCTGTCCACGGCGACGAGGAGCTCAGCAGACTGCTGGGAGGAGCGACCATCGCTCAGGACCAAGAGGCCCACCAGATCTGACGGCAAACTGGATCCAGTTGGTCGGATCTGTATCTGTGACCAGCTTCTTCGGATTTGTCGCAGGAGATCCTTCCTGCCCACGGCTATCGGCATCTATAACAACTCTTGAATGAAACCAGGATGATGAGCTACGACAACACTTAATTACCCTTTGGGATTAATAAAGTATTTTTGAATTGAATTGAACGAGTTCAGTAATGTTCCAGCCTCGGGAAAGAAGCTCTTTCTGAGTGTGTTGGTGCGGTAGAGGAGGCCCCTGTAACGCCTACCATCTGGTAGACGTTGCATAGATTGAAAAGTCATAGATTACTTGAGGCTGAAAATTCCTTAGTTAGGATGAAAAACGTCCTTGATGATGTTGCTCGCCCTACCCAGGTGACGCTTGATGCACTCAGTTGTTTGTAACCGAGCGCCAGTGATGCGTCAGACATTTTTCACCACCTGCTGGAGCGCCTTACGGTCAGATGCTGAGCAGTTGCTGTACCATACTGAGATGTTGTACAGTGATAGAGGTCCAGCAATATCCTTGAGCACAGATGAGCTTTTTTAAGGCTCCGTAGGAAATAAAGACACTGTTGCACCTTTTTAACCTGAACTGAGGTGTTCTGTGACCAAGAGAGATCCTCAGAGATGTGAGTACACAGGAAGTCGAAGCCGGACACTTGTTCCACCATAGCTCCGTTCACAAAGATGGGGGCGTGGGCCTGACCCCTTGTCCTCCTAAAGTCCACAATGATCTCCTTTGTTTTATTAGTATTAAGCACCAGATTGTTGTCCTCACACTCAGGAAGTTTAACCCACACTTAGCCTCTTTTAGTACTTGGTACTTTCTTTATTTTTAGTTCAGTTGTTGTGTTTAGAGCAGTTATGAATTTAGTGTGTAAACCACTATAAAATATTGTGTGTTTAAACTGTAGCCATCACCTTTTTACAACTGTTTTATTACGTTCTTTGTTTTAGATCCCACAAGTTCTGCTCAGATTAAAGAAATATCCCCAGGGTGACAAAGGGCAGGTAAACATTTGAATCAATGCTTCTTTTTATCAAAAGATAATACACGAAGAATCATTATGTAGTGTTTTTGTGTTGTGATTCACCGCTGCTTCTAAATGTCGGTAACATATTTTTTCAGGATTTCATGGAAGATGTAAATATTGCCTTTCAATACTTGCTTAAACTCACACCACTGTTGGACAAAGCAGATCAGAGATGCAAGTAAGTTGGAAACGTGTTCTCCGAGCATCTTTTTTTGTGCTGAATCTCTTACAAAACTGTAGAGAGAACAACAAATGCTTCATATGTCATTTTATCTTTTCATTCTTCACATAGCTGCGACTGCCTCGGCATGCTTTTACAAGAGTGTAACAAGCTTGGACTGCTGTCGGATTCAAATACACAGAGCCTCACGTCAGAGCGGTACACATTTCTGTGAAATCACTGAACATGCATGATGCTGCAACAGAGCCTACGTTTTTTGTTTTGTAATGTTTTATGTAAAAATAAGACTAGAATTGATCACGTTTCATCTCCACCCAACCCCAACACCTGTCTCTCCTCCTACACCCCCAATCCCCCATCCCCCACCCCCCCTGCACATATGATTTAGGACTATGGACAGGGAGTTTGTCCCAAGGATAAAGACTGCAGAAAATGCAAACATCCAGCCTAACCCAGGCCTCATCCTGAGAGCTGAGCCCACAGTCACCAATATTCTCAAGGTAGAATGTCAGGATGGACATTTGATGTGTGGGAATGACAGCTCTGACGCTTTAATGGAGATTAATGTCATTACTAAGGAGGGTCGAAATTCAGAGCACAAGCCGTTCAAAGAGTTGAACCCAATGAAATTCTTTGTCGCCACCTAAAATGGCTTGGAAACAGCAGATTCCTTTAATCAGTGCCCCCTTTTTTATGTTCACCAGACCGTAGATGCTGACCATTCAAAGTCCCCTGAGGGCCTTCTTGGCGTTCTTGGACACATGCTGTCGGGAAAGAGCCTAGATCTGCTCCTGGCAGCAGCAGCAGCAACTGGGAAACTCAAATCCTTTGCCAGAAAATTTATTAAGTGAGTTCATCCGAACTGCTTTTACAAGTGAGAACAAGCAGTGTCCTCAGATAATCCCGTTTTTGTGTAACATCGGGGGGATTTGCACAGTTGTTCATTGTTGGTGTCTCTCCTAGGCTTAATGAGTTTCCCAAGCACATCACTGGCGAAGGATGTGAGTTGAGTCTGATGAGTTCTAATGTGGAAAATTTCTCAACATGCTTCTGTTTCGTTTGAAGTGAAACACTGAGGATGTTTTTTTCCTTTCCCCTTAGCCAAGTCTGCATCTGTACGAGCTCTGCTCTTTGACATTTCCTTCCTCATGCTCTGCCATGTTGTGCAAACTTACGGTTCTGAGGTAAGTCCATGGCACTTTAATATTTACGATCACTGATTTTTTTTAGTATAGCTCCACACGGTGTCCAGACAGAACTAAATAAACGACCCAACATTTTCTTCAGAGGTCATTTGTCCATTTTTCATTTCCCACTGCAGGTGATCTTATCAGATCCCAGTCCCTCAGGAGAGACGCCTTTTTTTGAAACATGGCTCCAGACGTGTATGCCTGAAGAGGGCAAGACTCTGAACCCAGACCACCCCTGCTTCAGACCTGAGCCGGGAAAGGTGGAGAGCCTGGTGACCCTGCTGAACAACTCCTCAGAGATGAAACTAGTGTAAGTCGCAGCTTTCTGCACACTTCATCAGATTATCGCACGCCCGCCGCCAGAAAGATGCAAATACATCTACAGCTGGTTACTGTGTGAAGTCACCCCCATTCAAGATGGCTGCCACATCTAACCTTATTAAACCTAAAAATGGTTAAGTCAATCAGTTTTACAAATATTGATCTAGAACTAAGACGCATACACATCTTATACTCTGAGAGTGAACTGATGGTTCAAGTTCTGTTTTTTAAAACTTTGCCGTTACCTTTTATAGTAATCTCAGCCTGTCTATTAGCAAAATATCTTGAATAGGTTTTAGTGAAACTCGGAAAGTAATTATTGGCGGGGCATCTACAACTCATTAATGTATGTAGTCAAACCTTTTCAAGATGGCCACCATAGCTAATCAAAATTTGCCAACACAACAGTGGCTTTAATTTCAATTTGCTTTCTGTCTGCTCTACAGTACCAAACAGCACTTTTTAAACTCACCAATTACCTTCTCCTTGCTGCTGATTCTGGTTTATTATCCATACTCCTCCTGCTTGATCTGACTGCGGCCTTTGATACAATTTCACACAACATTCTTCTGGACAGACTTTCCTCTCTTGGCATTGTAAATACACCTCAGCTGGTTCCATTCATGCCTTTCAGGCCGCACTCATTTTGTTCAGTTAAAATCATCCACGTCTCATCCTGTTCTCGTTACCTTAGGTGTTCCCCATGGCTCTGTCCTGGGACCCTTGTTGTTTATCATTTACCTTCTCCCCCTTGGTTACATTTTTCGCAAACATCACATTCAGTTTCACTGCCATGCGGATGGCATCCAGCTCTATCTCTCAACCAAACCTAACTCTACACTTCCACCCTTGTCTCTCACTGATTGTCTCCTTGAAATAAAACACTGGTTCACTTTGAACTTTTTAAAATTAAATTGCAATAAAACAGAACTTACTTTAATTGTCACTAAATCAATACTAAATAAACTTCATAGCTTTTCCATTCCAGTTGATAACTCCTCCATTTTTTCCTTCCCATCAGGCTAAGAGTCTAGGTGTCATCCTTGATAGCACCCTCTCCTTCTCCTCCCATGTCAATAATATCACACCTACTTCCATCTACGAAATATTCAGCATCTCCATCTTTCCCTCACTCCTCACTCCACTGCTGTTCTGGTCCACAGTCTGGTCACCTCTCATTTATTGTAATTCTCTTCTTTTTGGCCTTCCACAGAAAACCCTTCATAAATTACAACTGGTCCAAAATCTTCATTGGCTTCCCATCTCATATCGCATCTTCAAAATACTCCTCCTTACCTTCAAAGCTGTCCACAACCTGCCCCTCCTTACCTTTCGGACCTTCTTCACATTGCTACACCCGCCTGTACCCTCAGATCCTCTTCTTCTATTCAGCTCATTGTGCCCCTTGCCCGTCTTGCTACTTTGGGGAACTCACTCCCACCTGATATTCGCAACACAGACTCACTGCTACATTTCAAATCCAAACTCAGAACTCATCTGTTTAAAGTAGTCTCCACACTGTGATTACAGCTGCACTGTCTTATTTAAATTCTATTTTGTACATATTTTTACTGTGTATATAATATTGTCTGTGTTTATGCTAGACTATGTAAGGTGACCTTGAGTGCCAAGAAAGGTGCCTACAAATAAAATGTATTATTATTATTATTATTAATAACTCAGTATTACAGATATTGAGCTAAAGTTTGGAGTGATAGTAGCTGAGAGTCATCTTCAACACATACTCTTGAGTGCTAACACATCTCACAGTATCTCATGAGATCATTTACAAAGTTTGACCGAAGCAGTTGTAACTCAAACTTTATTACAAGATGCTTTTATTTTTTCTCTGACATGAAATGTGACGAGTGATATTCAGTCTTTTGAAGTATGCTAGGTGTTTTAATTTTGAAGTTTCTAAAATATAGTGTTGATTTCTAAGTACAAACATTGTTAATGAAAGGGGAAAATCTTTAATATGTTCTGCAATACTCTAAATATGTATATGTTTTTCTCTGGCTTTTATTTGTTGCAACAGTCAGGTGAAATGGCATGAAATCTGCCTCAGCACTCCAGCAGCCATATTGGAGGTCCTCAATGCATGGGAGAACGGTGTGCTTTCTGTGGAGGCGGTCCAGGTCTGTCCCCGCCTCGCACTATTATTTCTGTCTCTGGAATGTGTTTTCTCAAGTCACGGTGGCTCATCCAGCATGATGCTTAGTCATCACAGACGTCCTGAACTGTAGCTTGACTCATTACTTAACAGAGAAAAGGATAAAAAAAAAAATATTGCATCAAAATGATGTGCAATCAACTTCTCTATTCTGCTTCTTTGAAGTTTTTTTAATCACTAGAATGTGGAAGGATGCCATTTCAGTCAAATCCTCTCATTGCTTTTTCCATTCTCTTCATCTTTTTCTTCCTCTTTTATAAATGTGGTGACGTCTGTGTTGGGAGTAGAAGATCACTGACAACATCAAGGGGAAAGTATGCAGCATGGCTATCAGTGCGGTGGCGTGGCTCGTGGCTCACGTCAGGATGTTGGGAAGGGATGAGAGGGAGAAGCCTCAGACGATGATCCGACAACTCGTGACTCCACACTATGCAGAGAACACCCTACAGTTTTATAACGAGCGGTACTCATATTAATACATTTATTCCTCTGATCAAATAGTGATGAATTACTTACTTACCTGCACTAACAACTGTATTATTTTCCTTCTGACCTCATCAGCGTGGTCATTATGAGTTCCATCATGGAGCACATGTGTGCAGATGTTTTCCAACAAACGGGCGCCGTGCTGCGAGCCCCATTGGAGGGCCAGGAGCCAATCCCGTACCGCAACCTGCTGCCTACTAAAGAGCCCATCCACAAGGCCCTCAGCCAGCAGTTTCAGGTGGTGCTGCGGAAAGGCTGGGTGGACAGTCAAGCTTTTCATCTGTTCGAGAGCCTCCTCAACATGGGAGGGGTCTTCTGGTTCACCAACAACCTGATCAGAGTAATGGACTAAAGACAAACGCTGGTGGCCAAGATCTGATTATGAGCCCAAACTTATGGCTTTTTAATTCTTTTCAGGAACTGTTGAAGGAAACACGACAGGAGTGGGCTAGTCGGGTCGTGGAGTTACTCTACAGCATCTTCTGCTTGGACACTCAGCAGATCACCCTGACGCTGCTGGGTACCATCCTGCCCAACCTGCTCACTGACTCGGCCCACTGGCACAGCCTTTCTGACCCCCCTGGAAAGGCTTTGGCCAAGTAAGAGCAGCTAAGTGCCTTTATGCTGATTGCAGCAGCACTTAAAGTATTTCAGTATTAACTTTTCCTTCCCGGGGTGCCTCAGGTTGTCTGTGTGGTGTGCGCTCAGCTCTTACTCCTCTCACCACAAAGGCCCCTTCTCAGCTCGTCAGCGAAAACGGCAGAGAGAAGACATCGAGGTAAAACTGTCAGTAAAGACCACATCATGAGCACTGTATAGATCAGGGGTATTCAATTAATAATTGCTGAGGTCCAGTTACTAAAATTTCTCCTGGTAAAAGGTCTGAACAAAAGTCCAACTTTTGTCTTATGTTCTTCTGCCCATATTCACATTTTCAATGTTAACAAACTGCACTTTATAATAAACAACTAGCTCTTTCAACACAATTAAAAGTAGTCCCAGACAAATAAATGTATGGCCTTTATTTCAGATTAAAACAGAACGCTCAGAATAAAATACATCTTAAATGTGCAAACGGAGCCCAATAAGCCTCTTAAACTGAAGAGGTCCAAGCCTAAAGAATTGAAGGCTTACAATGAACGTATAAAAGTTAACATCTTTAGAAAATAGAAAACAATTAAAAAGTGGCTCTTTAATTATAACAAATTATAACTAGAGCAAGTAAAGATTTTTTTTGTGCTTAAAGAGGCACCAACCTATAAAATTTTAAGTTTTCAAGTAAAACATGTCAGCATCTTCAGAAAACGATAAATAAAAATGTCTCTCTTCATAAAAAAAACCTGAAAACAGAGCATTTAACAACTTTCTCTGTTGATTATTCTTTATTTTACTTTTCTTAATGAGAGAAACAGTCATGGGATTGTCCTGCCAGTTAGAATGGAATCAGAGCCGTTCTCATGTAGCTGAGCATTATCAGTAACATCTGTAGTCATCGATGACTGAACAGCTGCAGCTGTGCCAGAACATCATCTGCTAATATTTCAGATTTTCTGCTTGCTGTTGAAGCTGACGTCGGGATTTGTTAGATTTTTTTTTTTCACACATCTTGCCTTTTTGTTTTCCATCAAAAGTCTCAGCAACAACATTTAAGCACTTCCTTCAGGACCGTCCCGTCACTAAATGTTTTTTTATGTTGCTCCAAAATCCACGATACCTTGAGTGAACATTTGTTTGCACGTTGCTTAAAAGTATTTGCGATGAGTATAGGGTCTGTCATACTGAGCTTTCAGTTCGGTTAATTTACTGCTCTCTGCTCGGACTTCAGCAGATAACGTTGCTCAAAAGAGATGAAGAGCGCTTCACGTCGCCACTTTTAATTTATGCGACCATTTCAGAGCATTTGAGGCAAACGGGTTTTGAACTACTTGCTGGAAGAATGAGCATAAATTTCTCTGTCCGTTCATCTTTAAAACGTTTTCAGCATCAACTTTTCTTATTTTGGAGCACGACATGGTGTCTCTTCCTCTCTGCTCCTTCTCAACTCTTCTCCGGTGAGAGCTCACTGCACCGGTAGTGCAGGGAAAACAAAAGATATGATTGGCTCATTAACTGAGTGACACTATTACCATAACACCTGAAGTAGAGTGAACCTCCAGAACACACCTCCCGTGTCTCTGCTTGGCTCTGCACCTTAGTTTTCTATTGCTGGAAAAATGATCCAAGAAAATGATCTATTTTCATGAATTTATCAGATTGGGCACAGGTCCAGACAGAACCATCTCTGGGTCCGCATCCGGACCCAGGTCCACCCAATGATGACCTAGGGTATAGATAGAATATGGTTTTAACACAACTGTGTTTTGTTTTTTATGTGTACTTTTGGCTGCAGGACTACAACAGCCTCTTTCCTTTGGACGACACTCAGCCGTCTAAACTCATGCGGCTGCTGAGTTCCAACGAAGACGAGCCTGCAGCTCTTTCCAGTCCAGGTCAGTCTCGTTTTATCGCACCACTGAATTATGAAGCTTGCTCAGACATTTGTCTCTCAGTCTGAGCTGGGGATTAAACGGGTAACAAGGTTGAATACAAGACTTCTTCTTGTATGTGTTTTGTGTAAATCGAAGAGATCAACTCGGCCTCATCAACAGGTCTCTTTTATAATGTTCTGCTTCTTGCCTGTCTGCAGGTTCTAACATGAGCTCTGCTCTCTCATGGGAAAGTTCTGCTTAAAGTAATGCAGCACTAAGCAGCAGGGCTGGGATTAATACTGAGCAGAATCTGTTTTGTTGTGTTCATCCGTTCATTCATCTTGTTGTACTCCATCCTCATGACTGATAATGAGCTTTCAGCCTACCGGCTTTGGGAATTTTAGATTTCACTTTTGGCTGCAGCTGTAGAGAGGAATCCCCAGACAGAACGTTGCATGACTTAGGAAAAAAATGCATGCGTTACTTTGCATGATCTTGTCAAGACTGAAACAAAAAGTCCCCCCCCCCCCCACCCTCACAAGTCAAACTAGAATTCATTTAGAAACCTTGTCACTGACCCATCTGCCACAAGAACAAATGCACAGATGACTGAAGTGATTTATTAGAATATACATGTCTTCCATTAACACATTTACCAAACGTGTTGAAAAAAGGACATTACAGTAGTCCCTTGTTTACTGCGGGGGCTAGGTTCCAGAGACCCCGCCACCCATGCAATACGTAAAAATGCACCAAGTAGCGACGTTATATTTATTTTAGTATTTATATATTTTAAGGCTTTAGAAACCCTTCCCACACTCTTACAATGTTCTACACTCTTAAACCTACATAATTTTAATATCATACACTGTCTGGCAAAAAAAAAATTGCCACCTGGATTTAACTAAGCAAATAGGTACAAACCTCCTATTGGATAATTACTGCGTGGGTGATTATCTTTCAGCTGGCAACAAGTTATTTAACCCCAACTGGTGCAATGAGTTGCTTCTCATTTCTTAAACAATCATGCTGAAAGACACATCACGTGGTCGTGGAAAAGATGTCAGTCTGTTTGAGAAGGGTCAAATCATTGGCATCAAGCAGAGAAAACATCTAAGGAGATTGTAGAAACTATTAAAATTGGGTTAAGAACTGTCCAACACATTATTAAAAACTGGAAGGATAGTGGGGACCCATCGTCTTCGAAGAAGAAATGTGGCTGGAAAAAAATCCTGAATGATCGTGATCGGCGATCACTTAAACGTTTGGTGAAATCACATCGAAGAAAAACAACAGTAGCACTCAGGGCTGTGTTTAATAGTGAAAGTAAGAGCATTTCCACAAACACAATGTGAAGGGAACTCAAGGGATTGCGCCTGAACAGCTGTGTAGCCTTAAGAAAACCACTAATCAGAGAGGCTAACTGGAAAAAAAAGGGTTCACTTTGCTAGGGAGCATAAAGATTGGACTCTGGAGCAATGGAAGGTCATGTGGTCTGATGAGTCCAGATTTACTCTGTTCCAGAGTGATGGGTGCATCAGGGTAAGAAAAGAGGAAGGTGATCATGTCTAGTGCCTACTGTACAAGCCTGTGGGGGCAGTGCAATGATGTGGGGTTGCTGCAGTTGGTCAGGTCTAGGTTCAGCTCAAAGAATGAGGTCAGCTGACTACCTGAATATACTGAATGACCAGGTTATTCCATCAATAGATTTTTTTCTTCCCTGATGGCACAGACATATTCCAAGATGACAATGTCAGGATTCATTGGGCTCGAATCGTGAAAGAGTGGTTCTGGGAGCATGAGACATCATTTTCACACATGGATTGGCCACCGCAGAGTCCAGACCTTAACCCCACTGAGAATGTTTGGGATGTGTTGGAGAAGGCTTTGCGCAGTGGTCAGAATCTGCCATCATCAATGCAAGAGCTTGGTGAAAAATTAATGCAACACTGGATGGAAGTAAATCTTGCAGAAGCTCATTGAAACAATGCCACAGTGAATGCTGCTGTAATCAAAGCTGAAGGCGGTCCAACGAAATATTAGTGTGTGACCTGGTTTTGGTGATGACTTTTTTTTTTTTTTGGCCAGGCAGTGTACGTACAGTACTGTTTATGTAGCTACTAAATTTTACTGACCAGGCTCTGCAGAACAGCAACAACTCTCGGTTCCAGTCCAACTCAGTTCGTTTCTGCAGACGTACCCTGCAGCGACAAAAGCCCACAATCAATGGTCTAAACTCTTAAACCTACTAATTTTAACAACGTACTTATATGTAGCTACTAAATTTTACTTATCAGCACGTCCCCACTCGGAGGTCCGCTTGTGCCGATTGAAAGAAATGAAAAAGTTCCGGTGGGTTCCGGTGGGCTCCGGATGGAGCGCCGGACCTTCAGCGGTGTGCGTCCTGCTCTCGAGTCACCGATGGGTCTGGAAGTTTGGTTCTGCTCTGGTTCTGGTCCAGCTCGGTGGGTTCCATGTGGCTCTCTGCAACCGGTGGGCGCCGAAGTCACTGTAATAAGCACCAAACTTTTTCTGATCAGATCCAAACTTTCTCTCTAGTATTCCAGCAGAAGGAAATGGGGCTTCTGGGCAGGGCCCTGTTGGCTTCTGGGAAATGTGGTCATTATGAGCGGGAATACAGTGTAGGCTTATTGAGCGAAAACTACAAAATGGCGTCGCCTGTCCTAAGTATTTTATTAGTTTAACTTTGTACTGTACAGTACAGTATCCAGTACTGTCCCAGTCATGTGAGTAATATTAAAGTTGACAATTGTGTGTCCAGTACTTTTTTCCTCTTCTTCAATCTTGCGTTGAAAAACTGTGATAGAGCGAGTCCGTGAAAGTCGAACTGCAAAGTAGCGAGGGACTACTGTAATGTTCTTGAATCATTTGTTTCTACAGTTTTTCACATGCTTACTCTCGTTGTGACACAAAATATTAAGCTTTTAATTAATTTTACTCTGAATTGTTCTTTTGTCGTAGACATATAGAGACATATGTAGCATGCAGAAGTTTTTATACGCCCGTCGAAGGTGGAGCGTATAATAATATAGTCTCCATCCGTCCATAAACTTTCTCTTGTCCCACCCGTAACTTCTGATCTTCTCAAGATAATTTGATAAACCGTCGTACACATGTGCATCATGACTAGACGGGAGTGTCGCGTGCACTATTCCTCACCCCAGCTTCAAGGTCACTAATCATTATCAAACTAATGCAAAGTCCTTGCTCGTCCACACCATTGCTAGATTGTTGTATAATAGTTTGTCGATGGGCGTATAATGTGTTGTACGCAGTACTCTCGCTGTTTTTATCAGTTTCATGAAAACACATGGCCACAATTACGAATGAACTCGAAACTAAAACAGCAGCACACACGAAGTTCCTTCAAGGTTCTGTATTTGCTCTTGTTGTCCGTGTCTGTAGCGACTGATCAAACGCAGCTTTAAAGCACATTCCACATATTTATATTGGGCTGATGTCATCACCTTCAAAATCTTTTCCAGATGCTTTTATCTTTTAGACAACCAGGAGTTTGGAGTCATGGCTCTGTTGTAAGTGCCTTCAAATCCAAGTTATAACTGAAGATGTAAATATTCAGCATTGGTTATCGGTTTGATTTTACAATCTGAACTGGAAGATAAATACATGATGCGATCATCACTGGTGCTTCTTTACCTTTCCTCACTTATATCAGGAGATTATTGCCACAAACCTTTGACTCCGTCAGTAACTTTAAAAATAGTCTTAACCACTGATTTTGGTTGTTCTCCTGAAATTGCTCTTGTGTAAATCTGCTGCTCTGAGTTTTTTGGACTCGTTCTGTGGATTGATCAGACCAGTGTACAATACTGAGTCTTATTAAACTTTTTCTTTGATGCCACTGAGAGTAAACGAGCTGCAGACGATTATAATCTCTTAAATAAAGCTCAAGACCAATTTAAAGAACATTTTGGAATTTTATGAACCACAGAAATAATGACGTAGGATGAATATGCTTCATTTTAATAAAAAAAAAACTAAAATAATTAATGAATCTTTGGTCTCAAATGCTTGTTTGTAGATGGGACATGCTATAATGTTGCAACAGAACATTTTAAAATAATTGTTTGAAGGCCCAGTATTGTCATGACGTTTATTGATTATTTGACTTGTGTAACCAGCTGTGAAACTGAAATATCTTCAGAGTGAGGTTTTAGGAACGAGACATTATGTAATAAAGTAGTGGAAGGAGCTTTACTTCTGCAACCTTCGTTTAAAACTGTACTTGTGTAAAACCAACACAGTTCTGGTAACCTTCAGCTTCCTTCTTTGTTTTGTATGTTTGTTTTTTTTCCCTTTCAGTAGCAAAGTTGTGATTTCATCAGCATTTTTCCTCGTTTCCCCGCAGGAGATCGATCCATGAGCAGCTCCCTGTCTGCCTCCCAGCTTCACACCGTCAACATGAGGGACCCGCTCAACCGAGTCCTGGGTGAGACTTAGACATGTCCAAGCAGAACAACATAGTTTTACTGGGGGGTTTATGTGCAATATTTCAGTAAGACTCTGAAAGATAAGCATCTAAAAATCATCTCATATCAGCTCGAAGTCAGTAATCGCAACCAGAATTAATACATAAGGCGCATAGACTCTGTTGATTTTGGAGGAAATTAAAGAATTTTAGGTGCGCCTTATAGTCTGAGAAATACAGTAAATGAACTCTGTTTCCTTCTAAAAAAAAACATATTTCGCTCTCTTCCCCCCCACAGCCAACCTTTTCCTCCTTTTTTCCTCCATCTTGGGCTCCAAGATGGCAGGGCCTCACACCCAGTTTGTGCAGAGTTTCGTGGAGGAATGTGTGGAGTGCCTGGAGCAGGGAAGCCGCGGGAGCATTCTGCAGTTCATGCCTTTTACAATGGTGAGCTACGAGCTGGGAGGAGAAGCCAGGAAGGGACAGCTAGATGAATGAAAAGGGAGAGGAGTGATCGATGCATCAGATTTTACTGCTCAAAACACATTCTCGTGTGGTTTAAAAATGAGAAACCTAAGATTAAGAAAGAGTCAAAAACCTGACTCATACATGTAACTTTAGATTTAAACGTAAGAGAGCACTATTTATCTTTAGCTCTGTTTTTTTCGTGTATTTATAGCTTATCGTTGTACTTCCAGGGCAGGAAACGTAAAGAAATGTGCAAACATCCCTCCCTTATTCCCCGCCAAGTTAAATACATTCCAGTACAAAGACCCAGCAGATTATCTCCAGACAGATTATGTCTGAAAAGAGTCATTTGTCCTGTTGTGCTTCCAGGTCTCTGAGCTGGTGAAGCTGCCTGCTTTGGCCAAACCTAAAGTTGTCCTGGCTATCGCCGACCTGACTCTGCCACTGGGGAGGAGAGTTGCTGCCAAAGCCATCGCTGCTCTGTGAGCTGTAACTTTCTGTCCCCTTCAGAGAGAAATGATCTCTGCTGAAACGGACGTGGGGTGAAAACTAAACCGATTATAAGGACTGCGTCGTCGTCATATCTCTTTTCTGGAACACTTTTTAAATGTTTTTTAACACTTATAGAGTTGTGTAAAAATATGTTTTTGAATAATAAAGAAGAAAAAAATGTCTATTTGGTGTTTTTTCCACCAGTTCACATGGTTTCTGTGCATTTTGTCACCATTGTCTCCGCCCCCTGAGGTCACATGGTCACACGGCTGTTCACATGACATGCGAGGGAATCATCCTCCGAGTGACACAGCAGGTCATCTGCCACTTGCAACACTCCGTGAAGGAAATGAGTGTGACAGAGGGGAACAGACTTTAACGCCAAAGCCTGAGTTTCACTTTTCGTTGCACTTTTTAGTTTTAGAGACAAATTCATTGATGAGGCAACAAACCTACACAGGAAAATGACTTTTGAAATGCTTTTTTTAATGTTCATCAAACCACAGAAAATACATATTGTTTTATGGATTTTAAACGGCGATACAAAAATATATTTCAGTTTCACCTATAATTAATTAGTCCATGTGTGTGTGTGTAGCAGTAAAACGAGTGGTGATGGCTGCTAACATTAATCCTAAATGTTTCTGCTGATTTCTGTTTACAGTGATGTGTTAGGTGCACAGCTTTAAAAAAAATAAATACCTCCTATTTATAGAAATAAATATATAAATATATTAAAAAATAAATCTTCAAAGAGATCAATAAATACCATAACGGACAAATGGTAACGCTAAATCTTTTGGCTTTTGCCAAAATGTGCCTTCCGTTGGTCAGCTGTCATTGTCGTCCTCGTTGCTTTGGTCCAGACTCCTGAAGACACGGACCATGTCCTGCCCGAATGACTGCAGCTGCAGCAGGGTCAGGTGTGTCGCCACCTGGACCTCGTAGTCCCCCGGCAGGCGTAACGACAAGGGGGCTGTGGTGGACTGCACTGCAGCTTCTGATTGGACCAGTATTAACATCTGAAATCACAACAGAAACGATGATTACCTCGTCTAATCAAAGGTTTTAGTGCCTGTTGCGAAAAACAAATCAATTAATCGCATGATAAATGAAAATTATAGCCCTCATTTTCATTTATTGGCTTTATTGTTTCTTAAATTTGACAATAATTACTAATTATTGTCAAATTTCAAACGATTTTATCGTTTATCGCAATAATTTCTGAGACAATTTATCGCCCAGCAAAATTTGTTATCGTGACAGGCCTAGGTGCAAACTGATTTTTATTTGTTTTACCTTCACGATCTGAACTGCCAAATCTCTGATGTCCGCCATCAGATCAGTCACTTTATTTCTCGCCTCCAGCCGAGGGGACACAAAGTTCAGTAAGCCTCGGTGCAGCAGCAGACCCTCGTGCATCCGTCTCAAGCTGCTCTCCTACCAAAGAAGGAGAAAACTGGGCATCTCTCTTCTTTTATAACGCTTTATAACATTGACTCGTCAAAGATGCTTACCAGAGTGAAGTTTTCTGAAATGGCTTTGAGTACAGGGGGATGGGGGATGCCGATGGTGGACGCCATTGTCACAAGCTTGACATTTTCAGAGGAATTGAGCTGCAGAGTCTGGTAAAAAAAGAGACGACAGGAGGGTCTGAGCTGATAGATTACAGCTTGGAGAGCAGAAGAAGGGCGAAAATTCTCCATGTGAACAAAATCCTAAAAGAAATTCTCTGAGCACTAATAAGTCATTCAAATGGAGACAGAACTGTAGGAGTATTTGTTATAATACTGTAATACAGTATGGCTTATGTATTGTTCTGTAGTGGCACATTTTTGCAGAGTCATCTGAAATTTCACTTCCTAAAAGGCCCTTTTGCGTTGCATAATACAAAAAAAATAAAATTTCACACATCATTAAAGCATTTAAATGATTTAAATATTTGAAAATAATTCATATAGCAGGAGATACTATAGTGAAATATATATTCAGTAATTGTGATTTGATCCATTTGATATATATATATATTTATACATTTTTTTCTTTCCAAGAATCAAGGTTCTTTATTGTCATTCGCATCAGACGTGGTGCATGAGATGGAATGAAATTGTGTACTCAAGGTCCCAGTTATACATAAAAATAGCAATTTGATGCTGTTTCTATAAAGAAAGCTTCACAACTAGTTAAGAAAGTCAACTTGAACATTATGGAAACTCATTTCTGCTATCTGAACAACACATAAAACATCTCCGTGGGACATGAGTTTCTAAGTCAAAATTATTACTTTACAGTGGGTGCACCGACTGCGGTTTTCTGGTCCATCACCGATCTCTAAAAAAGTCTGACCTGCCGATACCGATTTTGTTTTATAAGCAACACCGTCAGGTGTTATAAGGTCACAATGCAGTTCAGGTCTCTCTTGTAAATGAGTCCTCGAGGCTCAATGGGATTAACCTGTCTAAATAAAGGTTGAATGAATGCACCTTCAATATTCCAATCCTATTTTAATGAAAAACATACCCTTGAACAATATCCTAGAAACAATACAAACTTGTTTTAACTGGCCATGAGGCAGTGCTCGGAAATAAAAATGAAGTTTAGACAATTGTTGGTAAAGCTACAAAAAAAAATCGGTCAAATCAATTTCTTGTGTTACGTTTTGGCCGAGCTCCCGAAATTAAGGAACTCGTGGTGGTGCACTCTTACTTTACAGGTCAAAACCACAAATGTCCAATCATGGTTATGAGCTTAACGCTCATAAATATGACTTTGAAATTCATGATTTTAAAGAATGATGAGATACAAATGTATAAATATAACTATTTTTAACAATTAGGATCTAAATATTTATGATAATGACTTTTTTCCCCTCACAATTATGACTTTACATCTCATTATTACAATTTTAAAACTTATAAACCTCATTATTCTATTCATAAAGTGAATGCTTTAAAACTCTTAATTACGACAAGTGACTTTGTTCCTTATAGAAACAGGCTGCCACAGGAAATGAAGCCATAAAACTTGTGTTCTGGCAGATTCTGGAAGAAGCAGCAAGCAGAGCTATAATTAGCACTGTTTGCTTTAACTGGGTATAAACCCTGAGATCTAGACTGTATAGGGACATTTCAAACAGATTTATTTACGAGTCTCAGAGCTGCTGTCTCCACACTGAGCTCATTGGCTGAGAGCCTTTAAAATCTGTATTCTGACGCAGCAACATTAAGAATCAAAAGCCTGCCTGTGCACTGGCTGCAGCTGTTTGTGCAGTCTGTCTCTTACCTGTGTGTGAATGCAGGACTTGTGCGTGTCGGGAATCGAGAGCAGGACCTTTTGTGTCAAGCTGCGGCTCCTGTGCAGAATCTCCTGGAAGTGCAGATCCTCAACAAGTGGTCCGAGCTGAGGCAGAGGAGCGCTGAGGGCGGTGGAGGCCATGTAGCAGGCAAGAACTGTGGGACACACAAGTCAAAAAAAAAGGAAGAAACTTTTAAACGTCAGCTGCGAGGCATCAGAACAAGCCTCTTTATATTTTCAGTCCAGTGTGTGGAGGACAGAACAAAGCCTGGCTTTCTTCTCAGCTGCTCCAGTGCTCTGCAGAGCTGGGCACGACCCCCCACAGACCCCCCACCACCACCGCCACACCTCCCACTCCCTAAAACTCAGGATGAAGCTGCATGGGTTGGGGAAAAAAAAAAAAAAAGTCTTTGTAATTTGAAGCCCAAGCCAAAAGTAACTGCAGTGTTTGGATTCAGTCCACCTGAGCAGATGTATATTCAGAACCAGTTACAAAAAAGAATAAAAGAAGTTTAAAAAAAATCAGAAAAAAAAACTTAGAATGATTAAATCTTCTGTCCTGGCCTGTTAATCTTCCCCTTCAGAGTGTTTACTGTCACTGGAGGTGAACAAAAGGGGAAACAGCAATGAACAAGCATTACCTCACTACTCACCAATCAGGACATGCATGGCCTCAGCTGTGAAATGTGTTAGAAGTATTGACCTCCAGAGAGCACTAATCCTGATTTACCGTTCACTTATTGACATGTATATATAGCAGGTCCCACCACAAGGATTTCGCCATAATCTTATCTCACCGAGCATGACACAAATTTTCCTTTGAAATTCCAGTCTCCCTTTCTGTTAAATAAATTAGTGTCTACAATAAAATCAAGCGCTATTGTAAAAATAAAATCACAATCCAGCTACTGTCAATTACTAAGGATGTATTATTATTAATCCAAAATGTTACAAAATATAATTGCATTTCAAAAAGTGATCATTCGAAGAGCAACAAAGAGTTAATCACAAATATTAAAGCACAAAGGTAAAAGTTTAAATTCAGTTTAAGTGTCCAAACACATTTTTCTTCTGTTTTTACATGAAACAATTGAAAATGTACGGAAGCACTTTACTGCCATCGTAATAAAAAAATAACCAACACATCGCATCATAATTTGAAACGCTTATTATTCTAACACTATTTTTTAAATACAAAATTGTATTTTTATGCTCTTAGTATATATTTTTTCATGTTTTAAAAAATATACATGTTTACCATTTTAACATTTGATTTTTTTTTTCTTATAAATTAGAATCCTCCCAAGCTGATTACAAGTATCAGATCAAAGGTCCAATCAAGACAATATGGTTGACTGGTATTGGAGTGGCTCCTGATCTGGCACTGTATATGGTTTTGTGTCACATCTTCGGTGGCTGGGAGGTGCAACAAATTTACATTTCAGAAAACAAATGAACAATTCGTAAAACAGCTGTGCAACAGCCATAGAACGAAATTAAAACAGACCAAAAATTAAAAAAAATTAAAGGCAGTTTATAAATTTTTATAGTGCCTGAGCCAATGCAACATTATTTTAATCTACAAAAAGAACATTTCCTATTTTCTGATGACAGTGTACAAGCGGCCATTATCTTTTGTTAACATTTTCACAGCACACTGAGGTAACATATATTTTTAAAGCAGCGCCATCTCTGAAACCTTATGAGGAACATTACACTGACAGAGTTGGACTCATATTATTGACGAGTACCGTACATCATGAATGGAGATGATCGTTACTTCTGGATTAAGGAGGAAAAATAATTATTTCCAACCTCGTTTGTAGTTAGAAACAACACCTCTACATCCACAAGTTGAAAAATAATATAAATATGGAATTACGACTTAGTATTGAGCAATCCTTTTGACTCAAACTGGTACCAGAAACAAAATGTCTTGATTGGACCATTTGATGTTTAAAGAATACGTCATCACATTATTATAAGGTCAAATATATTGGGGCCGGAGTGGGACTCATTTTCAGCCCTGGAGTTTAATTCCTGAAAGTGGCCCACTTTAGATAATAACCTGTTAGTTTTAAAATTGTGTAATTATACCCTTACATCAGGGGGCAATTGTAGAATATGGTCTTTAGGGGTGCTTAGCTCCCAGTGCTGACAATAGCGTTTGGCTTGAACAACGAGGTGGCCATTGACAGCAGAAGCATTTTTAATAAGGGAGGAACACACTAGTGTGTGTGTCTGTGTGTGTGTGTGTGTGTGGGGGGGGGGGGGGGGGGGTAAATGCTATTTCCTGAATTCTGCCATATTTGAACAGGTTGTTTAACATCTAGCTTTACCTACACAAGTAACACTTGATTCAACAACTATTTTATAGTTAATGGCACAACAAGAAGTAGCCTGACCAACAGCTCCCCTTGTGTGAATAGAGCACGCTCCACATCTCTCACACATCCTAGTCGCAGTTTAAGAAAAACAGTGTACCCCAAGTTAACTTTTAGGAAAAAAAATCACTAGCCAATATGAAACAATAATAATAATCTCTCCTTCTTAAAAAACAATATGATCATCATCCATCATGTTTATTAGTTGCTTAAAATACCTGAGTAAATCTCCAGTAATGGGCTAGGTCTGCTGTAACCTTACCGCATTAACACAGTATGAGCAACATTCAGGAATAGTTTCTATAAGAACATTATCAAATATTTTACGTGAATGGTAAGATCGCTTTGCCCACAAGGAAATGTAACACAAAGTGAGCTAACCTCGGACAGAAAAAAACAACATGACTGTAATGGTGGAGGTAGTGAAGCTCATGGCGTTACCTGAGGCATTTAACGAGGCATTTATGCCTTATCAACCAACATTAAGGCAAAAAAGACAGAATATATATATATATATATATATATATATAG